TATTAGTAACACATACAGCTGTTCCCTCACCACAGTGCAACAGTGAAAAGGGACCCCTTTCAAACAGTGCTGCGTTCCGAACGTTGTTTAAGCGACATACCTATGCGGTATTTTAAAAATTCATATCAAAACAAAAATAAACACCGGTATTCGGTATGAACCGGTATACCGCCCAGCACTAACTTGAACCTAAAATAATCATTCATAAAGTTAGAAAAGGTTGAAGCGAATTACAGGGATGTTCACAGTGGGCTGTGTTTACGTTAATCTCGCATCATAAAACATAAAAGCCGAAGTGCAAGTACATTTAACCACAAGCCGAACATGCAAGCGCTCTTCTTCGTGAGCATTTGAGTGTGCAAACTAACCTAGTGCGCCATCTGCTGTTAAAAACTAAGCTCAGAATCAATTCGAGAGAGAATCACGATGCATTGATTTATTGTCCCAGCCCTATGTTTAATACTGAAAAGCTGTATTGGACAAAAACTGGACAAAAGAACTGCCTTAGGGGCCATTCACATATCGCGCCTAAAAACGCGTGGAAAACGCTAGGCGCGCCGCTTTCTGCTTTTTTCCCCAAAGCGTTCGGGCGCTTGCGCTCCGGAGGTGTCTGCCGTTACTAAGCAGCCATGACCTGCGCTCTCCATGAAGATGCGGAAGTTTCAGCAAAGGATAAATGGATTTGCAACACTAAAAATCACTTGCAGTAGCTCTGCTACTAAATTTATTTAAAAATGGCTATCCCTGTACAGCTATGATCAGCTGTTCCTTCATCTTGACTGAGCTTTCAATGTTGTTACGGGAAAGGATGAAGCTGATTGGTTGGTTCTTGTCACATGACCCGCGGTGCGCTTGCGGCATTCTGAAAAGTTGAAATGTTTTCATCTCGATGCGGCGTGGAAGCGCCTGGAAAAAATTAGCGCGTCGCACCGCGTGCGCGTCGCGACCACGTCGCTTCCATTATGAGCGCGCCTGCCGCGCGGCTACATTTGAAATAACGAACTTGAGCGCGCAAAAGATGCGATATGTGAATGGCCCCTTAAAAGGCTTTGGAACAAACATATGGAGAAGTCAATGCTGTCATTTAACTAAAATTACCTGTCTTATAACTCTGTGATCTATAGATCTCCCTGAGTTCCTTCATGAGGCGGTCAGAGGCCTGAACTGAACCGGACACCGCACCCTACGAGACCAACAATGAAGCATTTAGGGAACATATACAGCAATGCAAGGAACAATCTTTTAAATTATTCATCAGTGGATAAATTACAGACTTCACAAATAGAAAAAAGCTGACCCTATTTGCAAATAAAAAATTTGCTTTATTGCATTGTATTACACATCATAAAGAGATGACATCACTATACTGTATCAATAAAAACCAATATTGCTCCACCCAACCCCAAAGTTGTATAAAAAGGTACCTTACCGAATGGACACTTACGTTCAAGTGGTCCTGCCTCTGGTTCTTGCGGATTTTCTCCAGAATGGCCAGATTCTCTTTCTCGATGCCATCATCCTCTGACTTTTTCCCATCGACCGGTTCCTCCTCTTTCATATCATAGTGGTCTAGATCTTCAATATCCTGCTGCCACAGCAACAAACAAAAGAAAGTGTTAGGTAACAACTAGTCTTCTCGTCATAACTCGAGTCATGAGGAATCCATTGCATCCCCTGAAGCTTAATACCTCTGCCATTTCCTCTTCCTCCTCTTCTTCTGATGTCACTTCATCTGTTGTTCCATGCTGGGAAGAACAAGGATAAAAAAGCTTGGATCAGCTCACACCGGGAACAGGAAAAGGAAGGAGTGTAATAAGACTATGTAGGTCTGTGCTGATTTGGGCTACCTTCTTGTCTTGACTGATGGGTCCAGCAGGAAGTGGCTGATCCAGCATCTCCACATCAGGATGCTGGGGCAGGTTATAGAGTCGGCATAAATCACAGATCAGCCTTTTCAGCTGCTGTAAGAGCTGCATAAGAAGGAAAAGTGGTAACAAATGGCAAGTAACAAAAACTGGCCAACTTTTTACCTGCTAACTTATATAAAACCATGAATCTACATACATACATTGGGTTGCATATAAAATAATGTGAGATAATGTGTTCAGAAAAAAAGCTTCATCCATGGATTTGGGTTCATTATGGATTAGGGCTGCAAGATTATGCAACATATTTGGAACAATGTCAAATAAGATAGTCCATGATAAAGAAAAATAAACTATTTTATACCATTTATAATAAAAGTTTGTTAATAAAAATGGCACATGGTGTACAAATTTTCCTGACAACTGTATACACATTTTGATCATTATTAATGATCTCAAAAATGTTTATAAAAAACGTTTGCATTTTAATGCTATCATTTAGATGTATCTCCCCAAATCAAAATGGTGCAGTAATTAAAAAGGTGCAAGTTTAATGTATTTTTTGATTAAATAAATGAAAGTGGACAAAGATGTGAATAATTGCTGATTATCTCCCATGATATTGTAATCAAAATGATCAATTTTGATTAAAGGATATAACACTACCATTCAAAAGTTTGGGCTCAGTAAGATTTGTTTTTGTTTTTAAAGAAGATTCATGCTCACCAAGTCTGCTTTTATTTGACAAAAATACAGTAAAAACAATAACATTGTTAAATATTATTACAATTTAAAATACTTTTCTATTTTAATATTTTAAAATGTAACTTATGATGGTAAAGCTGAATTTTCAGCATCATTACTTTAGTCATAAGTGTCACAAGATCCTTCAGAAATCATTCTCATATGCTGAATTGCTGCTCAAGAAACACTTTCAATAATTATTATCAATGACAAAAACAACTGTGCTGCTTCAGATGCACAGACAGTGTATTTAAAATAGATTCTTTGAAACAATGTAAAAGTCTTTACTGTGACTTGATCGATTTAATTAATCTTTGTTGAATATAAGTGCTAAGTTTTTCAATAAAAAAATAAATCTTACTGACCACAAACTTTTAAACTTGTGTACATTCAAACATTTATTTTGTGCTTTATTTTGGATGATCACATCTCATTACAATTTCATTTTCTGTTCCATTCCTCCTTACCAAAGTATTGCCTTTTCTGACATCCTCTAGTCGTTCAAGGACTTCAGTCAGACTTGGGTCATCTGAATCAACGAACCATATTGGTGGGGTTGTAGGGTAAGACTCCTATGAAAATATCAAGAGTTACAATGTCAGCATCTTCAGAACTATATCGAAAACCTTTGTCCTTCCACAAGGTTACTAAAGTCTGAGCGGATCCGATCAGCCACTTGCATGATAAGCAGCCACATTACCATCTGCCAAACCAATGAATCAAACTCAGCAGGTTCTCTCTTCTAATGAAAACCCAGAAGAGACCATGGCAGATCTGTGCAGTGCTGTTTATTTCAGAGAAGTGCGTGACAGAGCTGATGCGGTTCCATGTAAAATCACGTGAACATTATGTTCCCATCCACTAGTTAGAAATCTCCTCCCATCACTGAGTCTCCAGTCAAGGGAGAGCCAAAATGATAGCGACGTGATTTGCTTCTGCTTGTCAGGACCACATACTGACCTTACAGCACCACATACTGACCTTACAGCACCTCAAACATCACGACAGAAGCTCAGCAAACTAACTGGCCTCAATAACAACAAAACAGCAGCGGCGTCGTTTTTCAGTGTACTTTTATAGACACTATACGACTTCTTCATAATGTAGTACAGTTAATATACACTTCATATACATGCACATTTTGTCCATTAAAAGCTATGAAAATGCAGAAATTGCTCAAATACGAAGTTTGAAAATGTGCTAATATTGCCAATACCACCTATAAATTACGCTAACAGTTACTCTGTAACAAATTACGATAGATTTAACTGAATATACAGCGGTGTAGTTTTAAATCTACGCATTTCTTTAGAGGCCTCGCGAAATGAAGAACTTAGGCAAACCAGCTATTGCTAAATTAGCCAGCCAACATAAAATCTAGCTGTTTATACCAATAAAATGTTTTGTTACGCTATAAATATTCCAAAATAGCATCTCAAAGTCGGCTTGGCAAGACCAAAAAAACATATTTTGTCCGAAACGTCGTTTAGCTAGCTGAAGTATCCGCTTAGCTAAATTAGCACGCAAGCTAATTACCTGCCAACTAACTTAACTGAAAAATCCCACCGACGCGGAATAAAACAACCCCTTTATGCTTTATTTAGACTTACATTTGATATGACCAAGCAAATCTGAATATTATCTAGCGAGTTTGTTTAGCTAATAAAGTTAAAGCGACAGCAAACGCAGTTAACTTTGTTAGCTAATCAACTAGCAGGCTAAATGTAGCTCGTACTAGCAGTGCATACTTCTTTAGCCGTGATTTTGACATCTATTTGAGGATATAATCGATCCTGATCGGCATACATGGTTTATTCGCAATATGATGGCTTTATTCGAGTCAAAAGGGGTTGTGGGTGGTGTTGTTTCACTCGGCCTGGTCTTGTTCTCCTGTAAGCTACACACGGCTGATGAATCTTACCGTGATGTTGCAGTGAATAATCAGCAGCTTTTCTCCCGTCACATTGAACTGGCAGCTCAGTTCATCGGGCTTCCAGTCGATTATTCTGAATCGCTCATGGTTTGGGTCAAAAATTGACTCCAGGAACTTTAATTCGGCCTTCAGCCCCGACACCGACATCTTCCACTCATCTCATCAGCAGCCAGGCCGCGGGGGGAAGGGACGCACAGACTACTGCGAGCGCGCAGCTGATCCAGCGAGAGAGATAGAGAGAGAGAGAGTGTGTGTGTGAGAGAGAGAGAGAGAGAGCGAGAGAGAGTGTGAGAGAGAGAGAGAGAGAGCGAGAGAGAGTGTGAAGCACTCTTAAATTGAAAAATTGACCAAGAGAGAGAGAGAGAGAGAGAGAGAGAGAGAGAGAGAGAGAGAGAGAGAGAGAGAGAGAGAGAGAGAGAGAGAGAGAGAGAGAGAGAGAGAGAGAGAGAGAGAGAGAGAGAGAGAGAGAGAGAGAGAGAGAGAGAGAGAGAGAGAGAGAGAGAGAGAGAGAGAGAGAGAGAGAGAGAGAGAGAGAGAGAGAGAGAGAGAGAGAGAGAGAGAGAGAGAGAGAGAGAGAGAGTGTGTGAGAGAGAGAGAGTGAGAGAGAGAGCGTGTGTGAGAGAGAGAGAGAGAGTGTGTGTGTGTGAGAGAGAGAGAGAAAGAGAGAGAGAGTGTGTGAGAGAGAGAGAGAGAAAGAGAGAGAGTGTGTGAGAGAGAAAGAGAGAGAGTGATCTATACAAGATGGTCAAATTTGGAAAGATTATTTTGAGAAGCTCTATACACATCAAACTGACCCTCTGAATAATCCCAACCAATTAAAAGTTCTTGAAAAATTGAATGCTCTTGAATCATGTATCAAAAACAACCAAAATCCACTAGATTATCCAATAACCCAACAAGAACTTGGTGGAAAACTGAAATCCCTCAAATGTAAAAAATCCTGTGGCCCTGACAACATAAAAAATGAGATGCTTAAAAACAGCTCTCCTGAATTTCAGACTGCATTACTCAAACTTTTTAACTTGATTTTGAGTTCAGGCGTTTTTCCTGAGGTCTGGAACACAGGACTCATCTCTCCGATCTTTAAAAGTGGAGACAAAACAGATCCTAATAACTACAGAGGGATCTGTGTAACCAGTAATTTGGGAAAAGTATTTTGCTCAATAATCAACTCTCGGATTTCATCTTTCTTAAAGCAGCACAATGTCATCAGCAAATCTCAAATTGGCTTCCTCCCTAAACACCGAACCACTGACCATATTCACACACTACACACGTTAATAAATGAACATGTACACCAAAAGAAAGATGGAAAAATATTTGCATGCTTCATAGATTTTAAGAAGGCATTTGACTCCATTTGGCATAATGGATTGTTTTATAAAATCATTCAAAGTGGCATAGGGGGTAGAATATATGACTTAATTAAAAACATGTATAACCAAAATAAATGTGCAGTAAAAATTGGACAGCAAAGGACAGACTATTTTTCTCAACAGCGAGGAGTGAGACAGGGCTGCTGCCTCAGCCCGACTTTATTTAACATATATATCAATGAACTGGCAGATCTACTGGACCAATCAAACAGTCCAGGACTACAATTATTCGACACAGAAGTCAAATATTTACTGTATGCAGACGACTTGCTAATTCTATCTAAAACACCAGAAGGTCTCCAGAACAACCTTGACATTTTAACTAAATACTGCCACGATTGGGCCTTAGACGTTAACATCCCAAAAACTAAGATTATGATATCTCAGAAAAAACCCAGAAATCTAGAACATAAACATATATTTACTTTAAACAACACCACACTTCAACATGCTTTACAATATAATTATCTTGGTCTGGTTTTAACTCCCACTGGCTGCACTGAAAGCAGGGGAGAGACGAGAAAACAACGCCCGCCTAAAAATAATGTGCGAGGGGCCAAGAGTGATCAGTATCTACATGGGATGCTGTTGATTTTGTTTCATACTCACATCCGTGTCATCTTTTTTCTGGTCGACCATCATGAATAATAACAACAATAATAATAATAATAATAATAATAAATTAAAAACTATATTTTAATCATCCTTATTATTTATAATTTTTCTGGTTGGTCGACCCCTAAAAAAATAAGACCTTAATGAGTGTCAATAATAACCGTTAGTAATAATAGTAATACATTAACTATCTATATTATAATTATCATTAATTTTTTTTCTTTACGGAAGTCAACCAGAAGTAATTTGAATCAACAGTATCACATATGATCACCCCTTGCAGTATCTAGCATATCACATAATAATACAAAAATTAATAAGTGTTCATTTGCATGTTCATGTTTCTCTGACGTTGGTTATGGTGACATGGTAAACAAATAAAATATATCATTTTTTTCAGTAAGTGTTTTATTTTATTCATTTTAAAATTATTCGTTTTAATTTAACATTTTTATGATTTAATTCATTATTAGCTTTTCATTAAACTTATAAACCCACTTATTTTCTTACATTTTCTTACATCTATTTTCAACATTACTTCATGTTGTTGATAAAAACAAAGGGAATATATGTTGTTACTCTTTGTATTTTTATATACATATGGTAGAAGATTATCCTATTTAAATCAATGTGATAAATGAGTTAGGTCAAAAGTAATCTAAAAGTAGTCTGATTAGCTATATTACCTAAAATGTGTAATTGTGTAATGTAATGGATTACGTTACTAACTACATTTTTTGTCATGTAATTTGGAATCAGTAACGGATAACAATTTGTAAGTAATCTTACATACTGGTAAAAAATGTATAGCCTGAATGCACTGTAAGTCGCTTTGGATAAAAGCGTCTGCTAAATGCATAAATTATACATTAAATTATTAATTATTATAAATTATAATCTATCTACCCAGCTCTCTCTCTCTCTCTCTCTCTCTCGCTCTCTCTCTATATGTACTTGTACTATAAAATAAAAATAATTTAAGTGCTTAAGTGTTTCTCACCTGTATATAGACAGACGGTTGGTTTTTGTTTGCAATTTTTGAAACTTAAAATTCTCCAGTGACAATGATCCATGTTGGTTTTGTTTTGTGGTTTTTGGCAATATGCAACGTTTGGCATAAGAAAGTGATAAAAACCTGTGCTTTTTGTCTCCATCTAGCGGCAAATATAGCTAGAACTACAGAACTGTACAATTATGGAGTTTAAACTTTATTACAAGCGCCTGTATAAAACTAAAAGTATGGAGTTTAAACTTTATTACAAGCGCCTGTATAAAACTAAAATGATGGAGTTTAAACGTTATTACAAGCGCCTGTATAAAACTAAAATTATGGAGTTTAAACTTTATTACAAGCGCCTGTATAAAACTTTAATCGAGCGAAATGCCACAGAGAGCGCTGTTAGGGACATTTAGGGGGTTTGGGGCGTTAAGTGCTGAGAGAGAGAGAGAGAGAGAGAGAGAGACATTATAGGATGAGCTTTGGAAGCGAGAGAGAGAGAGAGAGAGATGGATGAGCTTTGGAAGCTGCATTACGTTATTTGTCTTTTACATTTTTTTTCACTTTATCTGGGTTTTAGTGGGCGGGGGCAATTTCCCTCTATATGTCAATGCCCGTTTGATATTCAAAGTGCTGCATACTCTGACAGCAAGTCATTCACAGCAACAAAGCAAGTTTGCACAGGAACGTCAGCGCGTCAAAACTGACCGAACATGAAATATCTTCCGCTTCTTCTTCTTCTGCTCCGCATCCTCCAGAACCACAAGGTCCATTTGGACAGGATTGAGACGAACCAGGATTGTGCTTGGAGTTGTTCTGAGGTTTGTCTGTTGTATTTTTTTATGTAGTCTAAATATAATTTATAATTTATAATCTTTTGTTTGTTTTGTAAAAGATTAATTTAGTAAGGTCTTTCATTTCTCGTTCTCTCTCTTTATTAAACTTGATATTACCTTTACATGACTTGAGTAAAACATTGCTGCAGTCATCATTGAATTAACAAAAGTTTAACAATAAAATGCTGGAATTATATCTAGATTGCCAGGAGTGAATCATTTAACTTGTAAAAGATGGGTAAATTAAATTAAATGAAGTTTGCCTGCTGACAATTGCATTTATTAATATTTAACCTAATTAAGCCAGTGCTTATTTATATGAGAGCTATTTCTGTGTTATGTTAGAAAAGTGGCGAGTGGCATGGTTTAAATTATGAGTCATAAAAATATGATATCATCTGTAACAATGAAACCCAGCCAGTTATGTGATGTATTAAAAAAGACCTTGTCTCAGTCTTACAGAAGCAGACATACACAAATAACCTGCTCTCACTGATCTAGGTCATCAATATTGACAAAGTTTGACAAATCTTTTTGTATTCTGTTGATTATTGTAATTACATATGAGGATACACTAAACTTACATCATATGCCTGCTAGCCTTGTTATATTTGCTCCAACCAGGAACTTCCTAAGGAGTGAGTGGGAAACCCCTTGCTTTACTGTCCTTACAGTACAGTCACATTTCCTGTTAAATGATAAAGCAGTTCTCGACCGTGCATAAATAGGAAAGTAATTTACACTATGACTCAGCCTAGTGCTTTAAATAATATTCCTTTTGATCTCTACAAACAGGGTCTACAGTGTAAACCCAAAGCTTACTGTGAGTATCTATCTACCTATCTGTGTTTATGACTATCCATGCAGTAATTTATGGTTCTAACATATTTTTTTATATCTTATAGCTCCACTGTCAGCATTTCACTGCAGAAATCAGCCTGTTAGCAGTGGCGTGTTCAATAATGTGATGTTGTCTACTGTGTTGGCGTGTGAAGGGAGAAAATGTTCACTCCAGCTTAAAATCACAACATCAGTGAATGCTACTGGTGTGTATTATTCTGGTCACATTGTGTGAATGAAATGCTTTTGATGTGGTATATGTTTTAAACGTTATATATTTAAACAATTTATTAATAAATATAATAAATGGTTTCATATTCCTGTAAGATACCTCTCATTTTTGCATAATATTTGTATGTTTCACAAATCTGTAGAGTGTTTGCACTGTGACAACTTACCCCACTATGTTCAAAGTGTTTTCAGTGAACTGTATCTTTTTGTCTGGTGCAGTACTCCTGAAAAACATCCACAACCGCTGTTAGATTGCTTTATAATTACTTTGGTAGACCTACTGAGTCATTCCTACGTCACTGCATTTAACCAAATACTCCGGTAACTCATTGACACAACATTGCCTTCTTAGTACAACTACATCTTT